TTATTAGCCACTTTTCATTTTTCAAATACATTGCTATTTTATTTCTGCATCAATCCAACATTGTATATAAGAGAAAAGTCTGAGTTCTCCTCTGTGCACGTCATCCCATCACATGCTGTTGCTCCCTAGACCTATTGTATTTACCATTCTCTTCTTTGCCACTTCCTCAATGGTGGAGTGACAAGAGATCAAATATTTTATATCCTTTATAGGAGTTAAGAATCAATCTTTCCCATTCTTGTCTTGCAGCTTTTTGCAGCTATCAAGAAGGAAGAACTCATAAGTGACTTGCATCTCGTGGTAAACTGCTTTTGTGGCACAGTGAAGGGAATAACACTTCTCACAGGAGACTCTACCATTAGAAGTCAGGGACCAGCCTGGCTTTTGATCACAAGCTTAAGGCAAGACAGAGGTGGTTTCAGGACAGACAGATAGTAGATGCAAGTAAGGTCCTGCCCTTCTGTTTGTACCTCACTTTAACTCTACAAATCCAGAGGACAGAGCCCTTTTGAGGGGATAGTTAACTTTGTTAATTAACATCATCGTCTCTTCAATGCTAGCAGCAGCCATCGGCCATGGTGTGAGCACTACTGAAGACTCTCTCTAACTCCAGATACAGCAGAAATACTGCTGAACAACCTAACTACAGGGTAATATCTTCTTACTTTGCTGCCGTTCCACTCAATTCAGCATCCGCGTGCTGAACGGGCACACGAGCTGCTCAGAGCTACCGCCTGCCTGTACAGCCTCTCTGCGCTCCACAGCCTGGGACAGCCCACACCTCTGCTCTTGCTAGCGCCAACGAGAACAGCTGTGGGTTAAGTTTCGGCCACTACAGCCCTCCTGGTGCCCTTAGGCACAGAGGCTCAGCATCCTTCCCAGGCTGCATCCTCTCCCCGCCTGCTGCCCTGCCGCGCTGAGACACACCCGCGCTCCGGCACCTGCGGCCGCGGGTGCCTCGGGGTTTACCTTTTCACCGGGTTCAGTGTAACAAAATATTGTGGGCACCGCATTCTCCTTTAGGAGCTTGTTATTGCATTCCCTCTTAAAGCAATCGGGGGTGAAGTGTTCTGAGCAAATGCTGCTGTACTTGGTCGGCTTGAAGTTTTTCCTCTTAACAGCGGCTTCCCACTTCTTGCAAAGATCGGGTCTCGTAAGAGGAAACCTGCAAGTAAGAGGCACTTTCAGCCTTTCTGGAAAGCTTTGTCAGGCGGGGGGGGGTCATGGCCAGAGCAAAACCCAGCGGGGGCTCCCAGCCCTCTCTGAAAAAGGCGGCTCAGAGGGTCCCGTCCCTCGGCTTTCCCCAGGGAGACCCCCAGGAGGGGCAGGCGAGGCTCTCCCCACCTCAGTGACCGCGGGCGGACGGACCCGCCTGTACGCATGTATGTATGTATGCATGTACGTCTGTCTGTCTGTCTGCCCGTCCGCCCGCCCACGCGCGAGCGCTCCCGGCCCCTCCACGCGCGCGCCCCCGCGTCGGCCCCGCCCCGCCCCCGGCGCGCCCCGCCCCGCCCGCGCGCGCTCACTTGTGGAAGGAGATGGGCTTCTCTTTGTCGTATCGGTTCCGGCAGCGGTAGGCGGAACACGACTGCACCATCCCGCCCAGCCCCGCGGCCGCGGCGGCGCGGCCTCAGCGGGAAGGGGCGAGCCAGCGGGGCGCCGCGGCCTCAGCGGCGGGCGCCCATTGCTCCTGCCGCCCCCCGCGACCCCCCCCCGCGCCGTGACCCTCCGGAGAGGGACGGGAACGGGACGCGCGGCCTCTCCCAACTCCAAGATGGCGGCTCCGGCTTCAACGCAAACTCTCGCGGTAGCTGCGCGCGACGCGCTCCGCCTATTATGCCAGTCGGCCCGTGGAGCGGGGGCGGGGCTTACCCCGGCGGGCCGTCCAATCGGGGCGCGTCCTGCTCCGGCTCCGCCCCGTGTCGCGCGACCGTGCTCCGCCCCCCCGCATCCACATCTGGGCAAGGCCGTCCCTCCCCCTTCCCCGCCCCCACATCTGGGCAGGACTGCCCGACCACCCCGCATCCACATGTGGGCAGGGCCGCCCCTTCCGCCCCCACATCTGGGCAGGGCCACCCGCCTTTTCCCCACATCCACATCTGGGCAGGGCCGCCCCCCCGTATCCACATGTGAGCAAGGCTGCGCGCCCGCCCTCCCTCGGCACAAGCCCGGGCCGAGGCCCGCAGAGGCCGTGCCTGCACGGACGGGGACCCGTCGGCGGCTCCTCCGCCCGCTCCGTGCCCGGGGCCGCGGCCGGCGGTGCTCGCCCCGGCCGGCGGGGCAGGGCTGCGGGCGGCCGTGCACAGCGCGCCCGGCACAGGAGCAGGAAGAAGTTGGCTCTGTGAGCCCCGCGGGAGGTTCTGACTGCCTTCGGGAAAAACAAACAAACAAACAAAAAAAAAAAACCAACCAAACAAAAACCTAAAACAAAACCAAATCAGGCTAACAAAAAGAAAAGGAAAAAAAAAGGAGAAAAAAAAAAGCGGAGGCAGGGAGAGAGCAAAAGAAAACAACACAAAGACCACATAACACATAGTTGCATTAGGGATGCGTAAAACAGTTCCATGTCACTCACCCAGACTTGTTTTGCAGGTATATCAGCAAATACTAGATAGAGATCTCAATAAATTGATCTGTTGTTACAAATAATTTTATTTCAAGCAGCTTCAACATGTTATCATTCTGTAGGCTCACCTTCCAACTCTGCATTAGATCAGGGAACAAATACCATCCTACATAAGTGACAAAGAGTTTTCGTACAGAACTGACAAATGAACCTCCCTTTATTGTCACCCAAGCATGTGTCACATCTTATCTGGAAATTCTCTGACAATGACCCTAGACCCAAGTCAATGTCCACAGCTTTTTCTCGGACCCCACCCAGGTCATCATTTTCTCCTCAGCCTACTTTCCCCCTCTGCCCTTGCTTTGCAAGGGAAAGAAGAGAAGGTGTACTGGCTTGAGCTTGGAGGCTGTGGCTTGTCTGCCTAGACAGCCCTCTTTGCCTGGCTAAGGGAAGGCACCAGTCAGTGCCATTTGCTCACCCAGGAATATGACAGCAAAGCTGGTAGAGCAAACAGCCTCACCAATACTTCCACAAAGCCACTCACATTAGCTGTTTTCAGTACTCAGTGCTGGCTGAGCGTTGCTAGCTCTGCTCCTCTCTTGCTAGGTCAGCCAAGAGACAAGGAAACAAAAATAAGCTCTTTCTAGCACCACCTTCCACACCAAGAAAAACATGTTTACTCCTCCCCATCCATGTGAATGCTTCTGTTTCAGGTCTTTGCCTGATGGCTTTATTCTTCCTGGAGTCCTGCTGCTGCCAGTTTTCAGGGCAGCGACTCTGCCACAGCCTCATGGACCAGCAGAGCTGGACTACCCAAGGCAAAATGAGTTTGGGGTGGCCAAAGCCAATGCCAGGTTCACCAACCTGGGCAGAGTCCTGCAGCAGGGCAGGGCAGACACCACTGATTGGACCCACGGACGCACCCAGACGAGGCGACGTGATGAACCATGTACGAGGTCCAGTATCACTACGAGGTAGTTCAGGAACGATCAGCAGGAGATGGTGCCAGGAATAGAACTGGAAACACAGGTCCAAGGTTCACCCAGGAGATGGGGCTGGAGAGAGGAACTCCTATAACATAACTGGGCAGGGACTGAAGGTGCTGGACTGAGACGAAATGGAGCTCCTGCCCCATGGGCAGGGTGTGTAACTGGGGCCCCAAAAGTACTTGTGTAAAGGTCATCAAGGCCTAGTTAGCACACCTAAACTCCAGTTCTCCTAAGCATATCAAGCGGGATTCTGAGGCAAAGTCCTTCCAGACTTGACAGCGGTGTCTCTGCCTCCTGCCCCACTTTTGGAGCCAGCCTAGGAACAGCGGAGGTACAGCGTGGCCACGCAGGCCATGGGGCTAACAGCAGAGCTCAGGAGCTTCACTAGCTCCTGGGGGAAGAGGCACTTAGACAATGTGTAGGGAGGAAATGTGTGGGAAGAAAGCATGACTAGACTGCAGAAGAGTGATGCCTAACTGAGGGGATGCTTGGGGTCCCACCACAGATGGGGAGATCCAGTGAATGTGTAGATGAGCCACCAAGGCACTCGGTCAGCAAGCTGATTTTGAAGACTTAAATGAGAGATTTCAGTAGCTCTGTCAGAATCACACTGGTATAGTGAAGCAAAAGGGATTTATAAAAGACTGGGTGCAAGGAAATTTCCTCATCCTATAAGAATTTCAGGGACTTGCAGAGGGGCAGAGGCAATTGTCTCAAGTAAAGATAATAAATACCACCTCCAAACTAAAAACCTTTTTTTTACATTTCAGTAAGGTTGAAAATGTTGGAAATATGTATAGGCTGTTTCAAACCCTTTCTCTTAACCAATTTTTTCAGAGGAAAACTACATCAAATCCACCCTCTTCTTCCAAGCGACTTTTGGTTTGACAAGTCAGCATGTTTCCTGATGGCCAAGTGTTTGCCTGGCAGACTCCGACGCTCACGTTGTCGCGAGTCGTTAACCCTCGACACCTGCACTATCCTGTGCCCATCCATCACAGTCGCAACTCAAGAGCACCTGCCCACAACAGCCGCCACGCGTGGCCCTTGCTCGCTTTCCTCCCGCAGGATCCGTGCCGCGGCTGGAGAGATGCCCCCGAGGAACCCCTCTGCCCGCACGAAGGCCCCGGCGGCACCTCCTCTCCCGCACCGCAGCGGCGGGGGGAGTCTCCGAGGGGGAGGAGCAGCGCGGGCTCCCCACGGACACCCCACCGGGAAGGCGTTCCGCGCAAGCCCGGCGGGCGGGGGAAGGAGCAAAAAGGGGTACCGGCGGTGGCAGCAGGAGGCGGCGACGGGGCGGGCAGCGGACCCGGGGCGTGGCGCGGTCCGGCGGCGCCGGGAGGCGGCTCAGTCCCCGCTGCCAGCCGAGGGCGGCCGGCCCCGCGGAGCAGCCGCCCAGCCCGGCCCGCCCCGCGCCGAAGCCGCCGGCCGGCGAGGGCGGCAGCATGAGCGGCGGGCGTAGCGGGCGATCCGCCGTGAAGATGGAGGCGCCGTTTTACCCCGAGGAAGGACTGGAGCTGCTGCCCGACTTCGTGCCGCTGCCGGGTTTCGGTACCGCCGGCGGACCTGGAGCCGATGCGGCGGCGGCGGGGCAGAAGCTGCTGCTGGGCGCCGGGAAGAAGCGAGACCTGTCGGCCGCCGCCCCCGCGCCGCTCCCGGGGCCCTTCACCCTTCGCCCGCCCGCCGGCGCCCGCGGCAGCGCGGCCGCTCTTCGCCTGCTGCCGCCGCCGCCCGCCGCCGCCGCCGCCCCGCCGCCCACCGCGGGCTCCGCGGAGCCGGGGAGCGGCGGCGGGGCGGCGGCGGCCCGCGGCGGCCCGGAGGCCGCGCTGGGGTCGGCTGCGGAGCTGCCGCTGCTGAAGCTGCCGCCGGCCGCCGACCTGGAGCAGCTGCTGATCCAGGGGGGCGCGGGCCTGGGCGCGGGCAGCCCGGGGCCAGCGGCGCCCGGGGCGGGGAGCGGCGGGGCGGCGGCGGCGGGGCCGTTCCTCTACCGGCAGCCGGTGACGCAGGAGCAGGAGGGTTTCGCCGACGGCTTCGTCAAGGCCCTGGCCGACCTGCACAAGCAGAACCAGCTCCTGGCGCCGCCGCCACCGCTGTCCGCGCCGGGACCCTGCTGCACCGCCCGCCCGGGGCCGCCGGGAGCCCCCGCCGCTGCCGCCGCCGACCCTCCGGCCGTCTACACCAACTTGAGCGGCTTCAACCCCGCGGGGCCGCTGAGCCCCTCGGGCAGCGCCTACCCCGCCGCCTCCGCCCCGCCGCCGCCGCCGCCGGGCCTGGCCTTCGGCGCGGCGGGTCTGGGGAGCGGGCGGCTGCCGCCGGCGCGGTCCCTGGAGGAGCCGCAGACGGTGCCCGAGGTGCCGCCGTCGGCGGGCGGGGAGGGCGGTAGCAGCGCGCCGACGCCGCCGTCGCTGTCGCCGCTGGACGCGGAGAGCCAGGAGCGGCTGAAAGCAGAGCGCAAGCGGCTGCGGAACCGCATCGCCGCCTCCAAGTGCCGCCGGCGGAAGCTGGAGCGCATCGCCCGGCTGGAGGAGAAGGTGAAGGCTCTCAAGGGGCAGAACGCCGAGCTGGCCGCCACCGCCAACCTCCTCCGCGCCCAGGTCACCCAGCTGCAGGGCCGCGTCCGCAGCCACCTCTCCTCGGGCTGCCACATCAACGCCGCCGGGCATCCTCCTCCCCATGCCGCCGCCCAGCCCAGGGAGGCTCCCCCCGAGGCGGCCGTCGCCGCGCCGGAGACCAGCGCCTGCTGAGGAGGGACACCCCGCCGGCCCCGGCCCCGTCCCGCCCGGGGGCACCGCGGGGCCAAGGTGCGCGCCCGCCGCCGCCCTTCTGCTGTTATTATTTTTATTATTATTATTAATTATTATTATTTATTTGCGCCCGGAGAATGCGTTTTTGCGGGAGCCGGGTGTTGCTAAGCGTTTCCCGAGATCTGTAGATGTCGCATTCAGCAGCGAGGGTCTCCGTGGGTGGTTCTGGGGCAGGTGGTTATTTTTCAGTGAAGTACTTGAGGTCTGTAGAGATTTCGGAAAATAAGAAAATTACTGTTTACAGAAAGATTCAACTTTATTTTCATGGGGGATATAAAACGTGTGTTTCCTAATACACCATACTGAACTGTATAGCAATGGATAAGCTTTTCAAACTTAAAAAAAATAGCCAGAATCATACCTTTTGAAAAGATGTGCGTGTGTATATATATATTTAAAACATAATATGGCTATGTATATTTTCTTGGTATTGATAAAGAACTTTTTTTAAAATACTGTCTTTCTCTAGAGCTTTAATTTGCCATTGAGAGTTAAGACAGCTGTGTGGGTGCTCTTGCACTTACATGGCTTTGATTTTAAAATCGAACCCTGGAGGGAAGTGATTTTTGTTGTAAATCTTAAGCAGGATGAAATGCATTGCTGACTCAGTCATATGAAAATACTTTTCTAAACTGTATGCTCCATATTTCTTCTGCCAGTGAAAACTTGGGGCATTGATAGTTATTTATTGAAACTTGAACACTTTTGGACGTTGCCTAGACCTTATTTTTCTAGATAACACGTTAGTAGAGAAAATGGTTACTTTGGCAAAAAGAGCTTTACCTTTTTTTCCCTTCACTGTGTACATTCCAGTAGTGTTTGCTCTTTACTCAGTATAGTAACCATTCAGTGCTATACAGAAAAGGGCTCAGGTTTGGGGCGGGTTAGCTGTAAAGGTGATAATTCCATTGTATTCTGTTTGAATAAATCACAGAAATATTATGGAGAAGTAGATTTATTTTTCAGTAGAAATCTGTGTATCTTGCTTCTTGGTCTACTTTGTTCTAAAGAAACTTTCTGCAATACTCTAGAGACAGAAAGAGCACTAGAATGTGAAATGTTTTTCTGGTTGGCAAGAATTGGTGTGATTTATTTCTTTGTCAAGAATTTACTAGTAGGAGAGTATAGCAAAGGAACTGTTTCCTCTGATTAGACATAATCCTCAATAAGTTTTTGAAAGCTTTAGGTCCCTTGCTCGGTACCACTGCCTACCTTGCTTCTGCTGCACCTTTTTATTTTGAGCATAGCCGCTACCGCAGCGCTGCCGAGCCCTGTACAGGCGTGGTGCAGTGGGAAGGGTCTGTCGGAGTGTGACGGTCACCCCCACCAGAAGCCCCTCGGTGCAGAGGCCGCGGGCTGGCCCCGCCGCTGGGGGAGGGCAGGGCTTCTCCTGAGCAGATCCAGCTGCAGCGCGGGGCCCTCTCCCCTCGTTGAAACTGTGCTTAAAAACTCTGCTTTAACTCAGAGGCAAATCTTACGTGGGGATATGTGTCTGTGCCAGCTGGTGAAAATGGGGAATTGTGTGAGGAGCCAAGGGGGCATAGACATCTTTCTGTGTACAGCAATTGCTCAGACCCCTTAAAGCCACTCAGGAGCTGGTAAACACCTCTTAACTTCTTCGGAAGGCTACACTTGATGATTTGAAATTCAAGAAGAGAGGGATAGACTCACATTTTTTCATGCTTTTATCGGGGATACGTGAGTGCTATCTGTTCAGAAATTTGAGCTGCAGCAATCAAGTGTATGAGCTTTTCCTCTTAGTGCATAGTCGTTCCTGGCACGTGTGAAATGACATGACAATGCATAGTAATTGTGTTATTGTAGCCGAGATGCTCTGAGGATATTTCTTTTCTTAATGCATATGCAAATTAGGTAGAAGCCATATTAATCATTGTATAACTGTTTAATCATGTCACCAGAGCCTTTTTCGGTGGTTGAAGTGATGCCTGTAACAGTACCTTCTGCTGTTAGAGTTACTAATGAGCAGATGAAACAATATTTTGATCTTAGCACAGGTTTAAAGACTTCTTAAGGGCATCCTGAACCATACAGCATGCGATCTGTAGCACTTCCTGTTATATAATAACGGGGCGAAAAATACGGTTTTTACTTTCTGGTAGTCCTCACCCTCCGTCTGCAAAGATGCTGCAAGACTGGAGAAACTGATAAAGATTTTTCTTTCCCCCCACCCTTAACATGCTTTCCCTAGTGAGAGAGGTAATGCTGCCTGGGAGATGTGAGATGCTTTACTGTAGATGTAGCAAGGTGTGGATTTTTTTTAAGGAATCCTGGGAAAAATCGTAAAAAATTACACTGTTGTTTTGGTCCCTGTGTTTGTAAATGAGTGCAGGGCTAGGTAAAGCTCTTGTGGTAGCACACAGGACAAATGCAGCCGTGCAGTACTTGTTCTTTACTTATTTTATCATTTATGGTCATAATAAATTAGCAATATGCAAGCGGAAGTGGGGGATCCATAAGACACAAGAAATCACTGCAATTCCCACTCACAGGCGGGGCTATAATGGGCTGTAGTCTAGGAGGATTGTAAAGAGCTCCCCCTTCTCAGCATGGTAGTGTTTAAGCTGGAAACCACCCCACATTACCTTGCTCCTGTTTGAACTTTCTGCAAGAGCAGTCTCACGCTCAGCCTCCCAAAGGTCTTGTGTGGCAGCTTCTTCGATAGCCTGCTCTGTGTTCTAGCTGACATCTGTTAGGTGGTAGAAGTGCTGACAGAACTGCCCTTTTACCCTCATGAGAGGCTACTAGTGTGGCCTGCAGCTCTAGCTCTGTGCCAGAGGTTACTATTCTGGTAGTAGGGTTGCCAAAAGGAAAAAAAAAATGTGTTCTTTAGAGTGACAGGTTACCTTCATAAATGCCTTCTTTTATCTGGTATTTGGGCTAAGACAGAGGATCTAACACTGACATGACGAAAATTTGAGAATAGTGTTGGGGTGGTTGGTTGTTTTTCCCTATTGATTCTGATAAAGGTTGCTTTATCTATAGCAGATATTCGAGTGGAAAGCCTAAGCACCTAGCAGTTTAAACCAATATAAAAAGACTCAGGAGTGCTTAAGTGCTGCAGCTGTCATACTTGATTGTTCTTGTCTTCTAAAATGTATCAGTGCTCAGACTTCTGGCTCTGCAGTGTTCCTAAATCTTTCAATATGGCTTCTCTATTTTGTCTGCCTTTTTTCTTCAGTTTGTGGCTGAATGTCTATTTCTTGTAGGTTTTGATTTTCTGCCTAAAACTTTGGTCACTGTGAGATGCTAAAAGATAGATACTGGGTAAAAAAATTTCCAGACTGTTTATATAATTTCTATCCATGTAGCTCATTTTCAGTAACTGGCAGCAAGTTGGCTCTGTGTCACTGTGAAGGGAAAAAAAAAAAAAAAAGGCCCTAACAATCCTCACAAACAAAACACTTTATGTTCACTGTAATCTTAGCACTTTTTAGCATTTTTCTTCGTCCTTCAAAAGTACCATGCTTTGTTATACTCGCGCACACTACTCGCTTGTCCTTGCAAAGAAGATTCTCGCTGCATGACTTGATTTGCAGGCTACCCCGATGCCCTTCTGATCCGGTTTTGCATTCCAGATGTGGACCCATAACAAACAAACACCCCTCTTTGTTTCTTTGCCCTAGGTGTAATCTGTGCTCTGGAGGTTTCGCAGTCTCTTCCTTTGTCTGTGTCGGGTGGTGGATGCTTGCTTCTGTGCACATCTCGCTAGCTGACGTCTTGGTTTAGGTGCAAAGTGCCTTCTTATTTAGGTGCTACAGCAAAATAGCTTTGATTTATGTATGGCTTTCATTTGTTTGAATTGTTATCAGATCTTTTCTGTCTTGGGGAGGAGGAGGAGGAGGAGGAGGAGGAGGAGGAATGGTTTTGGTAAGGGAAGTCTTGTTCACCCCTTCCTTGGGCAGAGGGTGGAGCTCCTGTCAGATATGCCCCCACTTGCTGTGAGTGCAAGGAAAGTACTCTGCCAGGACTGCCTCAAGTGATGGCATTGCTAAGAAACGTGGTTGGTTTGGTCTACAGCATAGAACAGGTAGTGAAGTCTGTCAGTATCACAAGGTCTCCAGATAGGTCTGGATTGTCAGCGAGGGGTTCTTACAACTTTCACTGTGGCTCCAGGTCAAGCCCATTTGTCATGCTTAGAGACCAATTCCCAAAACACAAGTACTTTGCACACTTTGAAAAGCCTAGATGTTTGGGGGTAGTAAGTCCTGAGCATGGAGAGGAGTGATTCTGATGGTGATAGCAATGATTTCTGTCATGAGCCGTTGATGATCTTACAAGATCTAAATATCTCTACAGATTTGGACTCTTCACTGCATGTCAGTAGTCACTGCTGACCTTACCACAATTCTCCATTGTCTTGGTTTGTATTTGTGTCTTTACTGAAGGAATAGTCATGAGGCATCCTTTGTTCATTTAAATATCTGATTGACTGTGTCTGTTTCACCTTTGACAAGGGAGTGATCTCCCCAAGTTAAGCCCTGAGGCATTCTGCTGTTTGCAGCTCCTAAAGTGGAAATTCATTTGGCAACTAATTTTCAATCAGTTATATAGCTCATTGATGCTTTCCAGAGTACTGTATGGTATTGTTTGATGGTGTTGAAGTACAGATGTATGCTACGTCTGAATTACTAGTTGTGCTGAAAATAGTGTCTTGGCTGCCATTACCAGAGTCTTGGCTATTGGAATCTAGCAGCTTCTTAGAGAAAAGTTTTCTATATCTGAGATTAATATGCAAGAAAAAAACCCCCACCATCTGATTCTTCATTCTTCATAAGTCATTCTTCAACACATTTTATGTGTCCTGCTTCTGGAGTGCAAGTTAAAAAAGAAAAAGCGATGTGTTACGTTTTTGTTTATTCATATGTGCAGCTGTAGCTGCTGCTGGATAATTTTGCCCTTTCCTTACTTGATTCTCCTAG